AATCCCTCATCATTTGCTGGTGTAAACATAAAATGGTGCTGCAACAGCGGTGAAATTAGTTTGATAGCTTCTTAAAAACCAAGATGTGCCATTCTAAACAGTAGTCACACTCTTCAGCATTTATCCCGTAGAGCCTAAAGCTGATTTCTCTACAAAATCCTTCTGGGTTTCTTATTTTAGCTTTGCTTGTGATAGTCCAAAGCTGTCAATAATTGGAATGGTCTATGAAACAAATGAATGGCTAAATAAACTGTGACACATTCACATCACAAGCTCTGGCTGCAACGAAAGACAAACTATTGGTTCTCACAAACTGATTGCAGGCAGTGAAACAAAAAGCCAGTGTCGAAGAATGCATACTCTGATCCCACTTCTGTAACATCCCTAAAATGACAAAATTAGGGAGATAGAAAATCGATTCAGAGTTGCCAGGATTAGAGAGGATGGAGAGGTGAGAGGGTGTAAGGACGCTTGGGTATCATCATGGAGTCTTGTGACAGTGGAGGAGTCCTGTGTCTTGATTGTTGTAATTACATGAGTCTACACACGACAAAATGACAGGGTTAAACAGACACATCGTACCTGTGCTAACTTGTACTGGTGCTGTAGCGTCAGCTATGACACCAACATACAAAATGCAAGCTCCGGGAAAATCAGACGGAACACCTAGGTAGTTTCATATTTCTAAACAAAACACCTGAAACAGGTGTTACGAAGAGAAAGAGGTTTATTCAGACCACAGTTTTGGAGGTTCAAGGGCAAGGTGCTGGCGTCAGCCTTGTTTGGTGGGGGCTGTCTCAGCCACGTCATGTTGTGGAGGATGACAGAACGTCCTTGGGGACAACAACGGCATTGTCAAACAGGAAGTGAAGAGGTTTGAGTCAAGCTAGGTTTGGGATTTTGTAATAACCCACTTGTGAGAACTATTTCTATGAATTGGACAAGAAGTGGCTCCCCAAAGCCCTGTTCCATGGTGACTAGATGAATGCTAATGATTGAAAAGTCAGGGTTGAGGTTTGACGCAGTGGTGGCATTGGGACATGGCCATTGGGAAGTAACTGGGTTGGATTTTGTTGCTACACTGGGGCCGTTAACCACACAGAGAAAGAGGAGCTCTTCCTAGTTCTGCCTGACTTACCATCACATGACTCCTGCAAGCACCACACCACAGCCAGTCAGACAACACAGCAGTAAAGCCACCCAGCTCTGAACTGTGAACCAAACTCTAAGTCAAAAGAAACCATCTGCCTTCCAAGAACATTCCTCTCGGGTCTTTTAATGAAAGAAACGAAAAGCTGAATGATACCACCTCCCAAAATTTGCTTATTTGCGTCTTGGTGTGGGCCTTTCTGTGACTGCCTATCCATCTCAGGCAGCAAGAGCGCCTGCAGAGTTGGAACTCTTCCAATCCCAGCTTCCTGTCAACATGCACTATGGAAGGCAGCAGGTGGTGGCCCAAGTACTTGGGTCTCTGACATACAAATGGTATACTTCAATGGAGTTCCCTGCTCCAAGCCGTCCTCTGGCCCAATCCAGACCTGTGAATGCATTTTGGGGGTGTGAACCAGCAGATGGAAACACTTGCTTTCTCTCTCTCTCTCTTTCTCTCTCTCTCCCTCCCCTTAACTCTCAGATAAGTACGTATATATTTGGAAGTAAAATATTCAAGTGGCTGGGCAACACACGGTGTGTTATAGGCTACGGAAGGTGTGATGCCTTCCAGTACTTTCTCTGAGCCGAAAGTGCTTCAAAGGAAGTACTGAATTTGTTAACCATCACTAAGTTTTCTTTTTCCTTCCTCATGCTGAAATATTAAAAAGGATAACTACTGGAAATATAACTAATGAGTTGAATTTACATTCATGGAATCTATTAAATGGTGTGAGTAACCAACTGGCTCCTCCATCTGTTCGTATATTTACAGCGATTTAACTTGTTATGCAAGTCATTGCTATTTGTGACAATTTAATTGTGCACCTCATGCTTTCAAGAGCATTGGTGTTCAAATTCTTATCTATTAATTGCGAAGTAGAAGAAATACATAAAATATGTCATTAATGATTACTTTGTAGAGATGATTCACTCAAATAAAATGCATCATAGTCCAGTGGAACAAACAACCACAGCTACAGTAAATGCATTTCACATAATTTTTCTAATTTTTTCAACTCAACTAATATTCATGGTGTTCTCACATGCTTTGTCTGGATTGTTTCCTAAACAGATTTCTTAGAAAGGTTCCAAATTGATATTACTTAACGAAGTTTTCCACAATGCTAGACATGATATTGATCTGTGCTACCCAAATGAGGCAGTCACACACAGCCACGGAATACTAGCAACGTGATGATTGTTGTCCAACACTGACTTTTAAATAAAATGTATTTTAATTAATCTAAGTGAAATCTTGAAAGGTTGTGTGTGGTAAATGGCTGCCATGTTTGATCAGTAGAGCTCAAGATGTTATCAGATATCTTACTTCTTTTCAAGATGCTTTCCTCCACGAGTTTCTATTTTAAAAAAAGCACAGTACCCATTTATACAGAGACGGTGTGAGTCAGACACTTCCAACAACCACCCCTATCCTTCTAGCCACAGCTTCCCTTGGTGACCATTAGATACACCAGATCAAGACAGACCCAGTCTCCTTTAAAGTCTCCAGTGGCATATGGCAGTTCAGCCCATTCATTTCTGAGACATAGTTGATTGTGTGGTGAAGAGATAAAAACTAGGAGGAAAACATTTACTTCCTTCGGATGCTTCCTTCAGTAGCTAGAAATAGTTCCAGCTACTCTGTATCCTTGAGGCAAGCAGTGAAGAAAAAGATGACCCTGCCACCCGCAGCCACTGAATCCACCTGGGAGTAACTGATAAGGATTTCTAAATTTGTGGGAACTATGGTGTGAAATCTCCATAGATTAAGCTCATTTTGGCCAGTGTTTAATATGTTGCCATCAGAAGCTGCCAAATCGATGGACATCGTTTAGACTCCTGACACTAGACATGTTGTGCATGTCACAGCAGTGCAAGCAGTGTGCAACAGTGGGGAATAACCAGGGAACAGAAAGATGACAACTGTTCTAAAGAAAAGACAACAGTTTTGCAATTACTGCAAAAGAAAACTTTGGGATGCAGGATGTGACAGAGCTTTAAATGGGATTTGACTCTGTTAGCACTACCTTCAGACCAGAGAAGGTCTCCCCAAGAAGCCTTTGAACTTATCTAGACAATAAGATGCTGGACTCTATGCTGAGTATATGCTTGCAATGAAGGAATCTCAACTAAACTTGAATTGTGGTTTTGCAAGAAAGTGGAGGAATCCACCATAGGGGGGAGGGTTATCGGAGGGGTGGGAGGAATCCCAGTGCCTATAAAACTGTGTCACATAATACAATGTTATTAACAATAAAAAAAAAGATGAAATGGGAGAAGATGATGTTAATTAGAATCTGAATACAGCTATAAAAGCTGTACCTCCTACTGGTTTGCGTGAGGACCAAGTATGAAGTGGGTAGAATCGAGCTGGACTACAACACCCATTGGTTTAAATGGAAGACAGGGTTGGAAACAGAACTGACCCAGCAGTTGCAGCAACCAGCATGTGCATAAGCTGACTGGGGCAACAGACTGTGCCAGACCCTAAACTGGCAAGACACACAAGAATCAGGTCTGGGATCATCTCAGATGAAGTTTCTTTGAAGATCCCTTCAACTGAACTGCTGATCTCAGAACCCCAACCATGCAGCGACTATGTCAGCCAATGGATTCTGAATAGATTTCATTGCGATTGGAATGGCGAGATTGGCAGCAATTCAGACCTATTGAACTATCAAAACTGCTTGAGCAGGACCCTCGGAGCATGCCGCACATCGGGGACCTGGGATGGTAGGAGACTGGGTGGGGCTTTTCCCTTGTGTCTCCCCTGACCCCAGATACAGGGGGAAAAATTATATCAGTGTGGGAAAAAAAAAAAAGATAGGCAGTAACAAAAGGAACAAAGCATTGCTAAGTGCCACAGCCCCAGATGAACTTTGCAAGCATGGCACTGAATGAAAGAAGATAATTACAAAATGATTGCATAATATGATTATATTTTCAAGGCTCTTCATAATTAAAAACTCTTTTATGGCTTATACATAAAAGGTATAGTTATTAAAAAAAACTATAAAAGGTATCATGCAATTCAGGATCGTGGTCATTCAATCTAGAGCAGATAAGGTGAATGGTTGCATGCTTGTTGTCGACTGGGGTAGAAAGGGTGAGTATTCTATGCCTTGTCATGAATTCTCTCCCCTTCTCCACCAACCGCATTTCTGGGCTTCAAACTCCAGACCATAACTTTAATACGTTTTTTAAACATTTATTTTATTATTTTTTTGTTGTTGTTGGAAAGTCAGATATACAGAGGAGAGTCAGAGAGAAGGATTCACTCCCCAAGTGGCTGTAATGGCCAGAGCTGAGCTGATCCGAAGCCAGGAGTCACGAGCCTCTTCCAGTCTCCCACGGGGGTGCAGGATCCCAAGGCTTTGGACCATCCTCGACCTCTTTACCAGGCCACAAGCAGGGAGCTGGATGGAAAGCGGATCACCAGAATTAGAACCAGCGCCCATACGAGATTCCAGCACATAGAAGATGAGGACTTCAGCTGGAAGACTACTGCGCTGGGCCCACCGTTAACAATTTTAAATGCCAACATGTATTAAAGACTTAATAAATTATTCCAAAAATGTAACGCAGTTGAATAAATGGGAAAAGAAGACTTTCATCACTGGTATAATCCAGAAACCTAACTGAATAATTCCAGCTTGGTCATTCCTCAGGCATGAACCACAGTTCTATACAGATTCTAGGCTGATAACACAAACACCTGAACATCATTAGAATTTGCAAGGTGATTGCTTCACAAGGCCTGGACACAATTAGAGATCTTTTTAACAAGAAGGGAAACCTACATGCTAAAGAACATCTCCATCTTTACAGAAGGCTGACTCTGTATGTACAGCCAATCAGATTTCTTTGTTTTCTTTCGAGTCATCCTTGCACAGGGGCCATGCTAATCTTCTCTGTATCATTCCAATTTTAGTATATGTGCTGCCAAAGCGAGCACTCTTTGTTTCCTTTCAAATACCTATCACAAATAACATGTGGAAATGAGGAAGTATATAAAGTGAAACATCAAACTAAAAGTAGCATTTGAAAAATAAGACTCCATGAGAATGTGACAGAACATCAAGGGCCCCATTCTAGCTCAAGAACTTAGAGACTTCTACATTTTAAACAGCTCCCCATTCATACACACACACACCTGCAATTAAAAAAAAACCAACAAAACCTGGTGATAAATAATAAAAGTGACAACACATCAGAGTTACAATAGGATTTATCTGACATCACTAATATTTCCATGACAGTTCTGGGAAAGTTGACAGAAAATGTGGTGGCCTTCCCCAAAGGTCAAGGTGAAACCAGCAAAAGCTATATTTTACTTATTTCAATCATTTATTTAAATTTGCATCAGATGCCCGGTCTCTTGTGGATAATGACAATGCTGCGTGGGGCTGCTTTACTTCTTGCTTTAGAAAAACCAATGTAAGATGATAATCACAGCTCTTATTACTTAAGCTGATTCGCAGTTATTCAAATGACAGTCTCCAGTTGGAAGCAGGACAAAGATCATATAGATTCAACATCCAATTTCATAACAAAGCATTTGTCTTGCCTCATTTTCTTAATCGATAGCCACCCCGAAGTGCAAGTGCATATGGCTTTTCTTCATTATTAAGTCAATATTGTCACCATAAAAAGTAGCTAGTCATCTAGAACTTAATTCATTTCATCACTTTTATGGAAAGTCAAATCAACCATATGTTTGGCCCTATAAGAACAACATGAAAGATGCAGAATCCCTAAGCACCTTGGTGATGGCAATTATTTGTGTGGGCTCGGGGAGAGAGTGCTCCAGATACAATTATGGAAGCCCACAGTGTGAAAAGACTTTATATAGTGCTTCAAAACTGACAATTACAACTCCCAATAGTCTTAGACTGATTTAATAAGATTTAATGAGTGCAGCAGTTGTGCACTTTAAAATAGAAACAGCAATGTGGCTATGTTGTCCCAGTGAAAAGACGAGGCACTAGCAGAGTGTGAGTTTAAATACCTTTTTTCTGTGAGCCACTGGGGCTTTCACATTGGCAACGTCTTCTATTTCAGAAACAAATGAACAGTTGCTTCAAAAAAAAGACCCTTCAATATTTTATTTCCCTCTTTGTATTTTCAAACTACTGCACAGTAGTACTTTGGTGCCTTGCTCTGTTTTCGGCCCCCTTGTAATCAGTGCCCTAACTGACAATTGCTGCGGAGTCCGGGCGAGCTGCTTGCTCAGGGCTTGAGCAATCAGAACCTTAGGCCTATCCTACACTGAGATGTCTCCTCTCACCTCTTTGCAAAACAGGGAGGGATTCAGCAAAGGTTCCACCGGGGATTTCAGCAGGAATCAAAGACAGAATGCAGCAACAGAGATGCATTTTTGATCACCTCGGAAATTGAAAACAGAACTGGGAAGAGCAGTTACACTTTTTGGTACCCCCAGTTCTGTGGTCCATTTCGGTCTGTGCAGTGTATCTTCCCTGAAGTCCATAAAACTCAAGTTCAATGAACAGTTTCAGGTCAAGTTTTCAGGGCTACAGCTTTGTACAACGTTGTGTTATAGATGGATAAATTCATTTAGAAAATAAATTTATAATCCACATTTGAAATGTACCAGCCTATACGTAAGTCAGAAACTGTATGACAGGGCTTTCAAAATTTCATGGAAAATACACATCACGAATAAACTGGATGGAATCCAAGTTTTGCACCAAAATAAACATATCTTTTCATTCTATCTTTACATGAGTACTTTAAAGTATCTTCATTGTTTCTTTTTAAATTAATATTGATTTATTTGAGAAGTGAATGCATTCATCCACTGGTTCACTCCTCAAATGTCTGCAATGATCAGAATGGACTAAGGCCAAACTCAGGAGCCAGGAAATGGGGTCAGATCTTCCACAAGGCTGGGAGGAACGGAATTCCTTCAGCTCGCACTGCTGGCTCCCAAGATCTGCATTAGCAGGAGGCTGCGCTCAGGAGTCAGGAGCCAGAGGCAAAGTAAAGAGGTAAAGAGAAGGAAGGAGGATTGGAGAGAAAAATAAAGGAAGATCATTATGTTATTAGAATTGTATCTACAAATCAGACTTAATCTGTTAAGAACTAATTAAACATAAAACTGAAAAAGACCCAAACAGCCATGTATTCCTTGAACCTCTGCTGGCATTACAAGCTCGCTTTCCCTGATCATCTGAGCTATGCATTGTGGAAACAGGAACTTGGCTCTAGAGTAGCCACATTACAGTCCTTGCTTGGCTGTTTCTCTCTTCTCCCTATACTTGCTGAGACTCTCTGAGACAGAGAAACCCAAGAATATCTCATTCCAGTTCGTCTTTTCAACCTGGCCCAGCTCCAGCAATCACAGATGTTGGAGCAATGAACCAGATAGGGCAGGTAAATGATAGATAAATACAAACTCTAAAAATGAACTAGGGTGGTGATGGTAGATTCAGAGTGGAGAAAAACAGGTGGATTCTGAAGCACATTGAGAGGGACGGTGACACCAGGGGGAAAAAAAAAGGTTAGCCACAAGTTCAAAGTTTAGCCACAAGCTCAAAGTTTTATATTATGCATTTCCACCATGGAAGGGGAATGGACAATGTCAGAGGGTTTGGAAGTATTTGAGCATACGTGTCCAACAAAATGGTGAGCAAAGAGCCTCGTTTTGGAGATCCTGGATTTGAGAAACCAACAAGGAATCCAGAAAAAGTTAAATCAGCACATGACATCTAGGAAGGAAAGAATGGAGTAGAGGAATTTATAATCTGAATACTCAACGAGATTCTGTAAGACATTAAGCAACTATAGAAGTAATATTGTAAGTTCAGGAGAAGCACAGAATTTCTTTAAAAGCATTGGTGTCAATATTCAGAAAAATGTGGAAATTCCAGAAGGTCCACACGCAGCTGTCATGGGGTACTTGTTGGGTCCAGACTGGGCTGTAGCGAGTAAAGCCACCACCTGCAATGCCTGCCTGCAAGCCTATGCGCATTTGTTCATCCCAGCTGCTCCACTTCTAATCCTTGCTAAGGGCCTGGGAAAAGCAGCAGAGGATGATCCGAGCTTTTGAGTTCTGGTTTCCAATGTGGGAATCCTAGAGGCAGCTCCTGACTCCTGCATTTGGCATTGCCCAGCCCTGACTGGTATCACCATCCAGAGGACCCGGCAGATGGAGCATCGAGGTCTGTTTCACCCTTACTCTCTTTCTGCATCTCTCTGTCTCCATCTCATTTTCACTCTGTAACTCTTTCAAATAAATCTTTACACAAAATATTGCCAACCACACCAGCACCACAGCCACTACCCAGGTGCTGTGAAGTTGGCTATGCCACAGGGCCAGGTGGACAGAGGTCAAAGACAGGACCTGGTTAACACTCAACCAGAGACCACTGAAAATCAGAGTTCTGATCACCAGCGCAGCGGAAATCGTGTCAAACTTACAGCTTGGTAGCATTGAGTTCATCTACCTGAATCTGAATGACACACAGGGAATGTCACCAAGTGCCAGATAATGAGAAGTACGATTCTTTCTTAGAAGAACATAAATGCATCTTAGAGTTTATGTTATTCCTACAAATAATAGTTAAAACAGGAGGCCCAGAACACAAAGGTAGCCTTGTAAACACACACACAACAAGAAGGAAGGAGAAAAGGCAACAGAAACACACGTACAGGAATCTGATATTGTAGTAACTCGATATGACCAACAAAACTACTTAATCGTACTGCTTAACTATAATTATATTATTTAAATGTGACAAAACTCTAGCCTGAAGTTGCCTTCAGGGAACACAGCACTGCAAAAAATGATTTAGGTGATTTGGTAAAAATGCTCTAATTAAAATGTAACTAAAATATTACATTAACAAAGTACGAAAATAAAAAATAAGTTTACAAATTATGGATTTGTCATCAGACGAAACATACATAAAGAAAGAATGAATTGGAGAATAGGACAGAAAAAAAAAGTAATAGATAGAAAAAAAAGAAGTGTAGAAATAGACTAAGAGGATCAGGTAAGAAAATATATTAGACTTTCAATCTACTCCCAAAATAGAGGAAACTAGATAGGCGTTGTTTAAAAATACATCATGTGATTTTTTTTCAAAACTAAAAATTTACTATCAGGATGCTTTATTGATAATTTCCTCAGTACTTCAATTACTACTTTGCTAGTTGTTACTCAGAAACGTTTGGTTTTGTGATAAATCTACTGAAAGCTGCAAATTTCATTCTCAGTGAAAGTTCAACGGCAGTCCATATTTTTAAATGTAGTACTCTTCAGGCCCAGTGCAGTAGCCTAGTGGCTGAAGTCCTCAGCTTGCATGCACTGGGATCCCATATGGGCACAAGTTCATGTCCTGGCTAACCAATCCACTTCCCATCCAGCTCCTTGATTGTGGCCTGGGAAAGCAGTAGAGGGCAGCCCAAAGCCTTGGGACCCTGCACCTGCATGGGAGACCCAGAAGAAGTTCCTGGCTCCTGGCTTCAGATCAACTCAGCTCTAGCCACTGAGGCCACTTGGGGAGTGAGCCAGCGGGCAGAAGTTCCTTCTTTCTGTCTCTCATTTTCTCTGTAAGTCTGACTTTCCAATTAAAAAAATAAATCTTTTTTAAAAAAAATGTGTTTTCTAAACATGTTCATAAATATTTGAGGCTTTTGAATTCCAGCTAATAATTTTCCAATTTTCGTACATCATAATAGAAGACAATTATGTAATATAAAGTTTTTGGAGTTTACTGAGGCTTTTTGATGTAAATATGATTTATATTTTAAAGTTTCATTCACACTTAGGAAAATCATACACTTGCCAAGTGTAAAATTCCCACGTAAAATGATCAGATCTAAGTTGTCTGCTGTGTCTTTAAAATTTTCTAAGATTTTGTTTTTTAGAAATTTGAATCATCATTTTCAGAAATGTATGGTTATGCCTCCTATTGTTACCACCATGGCTTT